TAGTGTTACTCAAAGTTGCACAAATGTAAGGGGTCAAAAAAAGCCTCACAGATTTCTAAGTTAAACAGTAGTACTGAAGAGCAAGATCTAAAACCTGAAATCAATCATGATCATTTGTAAACTTACTGAAATGAAGATATTGACATTTTAAACATCTCTAAACATAAATTAAGGTTGCACTTCCAAGTTACCATCAGCCTACTAGAGTTATTAAGGTTGTTGACATTCAATATTCAGCTATTCTGTAAAGGTAGCTCACATCACTTACCATGACACAGAAAAATTAGGAAAATGATTGGGAGTGGAATAATAATAAAAATGGAGAAAATAGGGCTGGGAAGATGGCTCGTGGTAGAGCGCTTGCCTTGCATGCCTGAGGCCCTGGGTTCGATTCCTCAGCACCACATAAGCAAAATGAAAAAAGCCGGAAGTGGCACTGTGGCTCAAGTGGTAGAGCGCTAGCCTTGAGCTGAAGAGCTGAGGGACAGCACCCAGGCCCAGAGTTCAGGCCCCATGACTGGACCAAAAAAAAAAAAAATGGAGAAAATAGTTAATTTGATGGTTTATAGTCACATATTTATTCACAATAGCCAGAAATGGAGCTGTGACTTAAAGTGGTAAGGCAGTAGCCTTGAGCACAAAAGCTCAGGGACAGTTCAGGGACAGCACCCATGCCCTGAATTCAAGCCCCAGGATGGGTACCCCAAAAAAAGTTTCCAAAGGGAGGATGGGAAGGAGAAACAAAGGAGGCTACAATGCTTGATAAGAAATGTACTCATTATCTTGCCCATGTACTTGTAACCCCTCTATACAGTATTTTCACAATAAAAAAAAAGTTTCCAAAGTAAACAATCTACAACCCATACAACTTTCTTTTCATTCATTTAACTATCATTCATTAAAGTCCTAAAACACATGCAATAAAGCATGAAAATCAAGCAAATTTTCTTTTTGTCTCATCAGGAGAAAAAATCATGTGTCAAAAGGTGTCTTTAAATTGTAAATATCTTCAGTCTCTTAATTCTTTTTCTATACTTCCTAAATGCTAACAACTTATAGTTCTGAGTCTTTAGTCAGAATGGAAATACAGATCAACAAGTGCTATTCTTTATTCCTAATGCAGATTAGGGTTACTTTCCTATCTCATCTTTCTAAGAAGTATAACTGTTGAATTAACTTTGATTTACTTTTCACTATAAAATCTAGTACAAAGTATGTTCTGTTCTGTCTAAGACTTTGTAACTTATCTTCATCTCTAGAAAATCACCTTGTAGATAAAAATCAGTCATTGCTTACAAATAGTATGTTAGTATTCAGGTTATTCTATGAATCTAGGTACAGATGATAATTGCAGTATTCACCTAGAATACAAGTAAAATTTATACTTGCCTAGGTATGAGTCATTTACCGGCATATTATGAGAAAATCCTTGTCTACAAAGTACTCTTATGCATTTTATATAAATTCAAAGACTTAGGCTTTCAAGAATGAACTTAAGACTCCTTTAACAAATATTAGGTGATGTGTGGGTTCATTTCTGGGTCTCCTATTTTGTTCCATTGGTCCTCAGGCCTATTCTTCTGCCAGTACCAAGCTGTTTTGATTATTATGGCTTTGTAATAGAGTTTGAAGTTTGATATTGATATTTCTCCAGCACTGTTCTTCCTGCTAAGGATTGTTCCTGCTATTCAGGGTCTTTGGTTTTTCCATATGAATTCTGAGGTTGCTTTCTCTACTTCACTGAGTAAGTTGCATGGTTCCCCTCATTTGTGGTAGCTAGAATGTGCCTCTATAATCTACAAGTAAACACACTAAATAGTTAAAAAAAAAATAAACATTGCGACATGATAAATTATACAACTCTCTAGGTATGCACACACAGTGAAACCAAAGGAGAATATTCTTAGGAAAGGAATACAAAGATGTATTACCATATTATATGCATCTGATCATATAAAATAATATTTATCAAAATTAACTCCAGGAAGTGGAAACAAGAGTTTTGCTGCTGGTTTATTTTTTTTTTTAATCTGTGTTTGAGAGGGTAAGCAAGGGCATAGAAAGGGTGGGACAAAGGATGAATAAACGCAGAAGTGATACTAGATACTAGGTTAAAAATGAACCATACAACTTTTGGTTGAGATGGGAGGGAAAAACTAGAAGACACTGAGGGAAAAGGTGACATTGTTCAAAAAGAAATGTACTCTTTATCTAACTTAAATAATTGTAACCTCTCTGCACATCACCTTTACAATAACATAAAAATATAAAATAAAATAAATTAAAAATAATGAACTTAAGGAAAATCTACCATCTTTTTCTCAGTAGCTCAACTTGTCTTTCTGAAATGGTAATAATGAAGAATATGCAAGACACTTTTTCATTTGGGTATGACCAATTTTAGCTACAAAATAACAGTATTTTCCCAAGTACCCACAAAAGGCTAAATCAGATATTTGAAATACTAAAAACTTTTAACTGAGTCTCAAAAAGGAGTTTGACAACTGAATTATCATCATCAATATATCGACCAAATCTGAACTCATAAATTCTTTATTACATCTATACTTACTAATTTATTCTCCTTAAAACTCTGAATCAAAGCCTTGTTCTACAACATTTGTGGGGGGGAGGGGAAAGGAAAGGTTAGTCCTGCCAGTTTGCACATCTGAAGTATTTTTATGCAACTGCTCAGTACTATTTTGTGTCTTAAGTTTTTTACTTTAGAGAAAATTAATGCAAAGAAACGTGTCATTCCCCACTGTTGCCTAAATATCTGATACTGAGTTTCCTTTTCTTAGAAATGAAAGCACTGAAGTAATGCACATTCACTTCCTATTTATTTTTCATTAGTACACATTAGTTACACAAGGGGAATTTCAACATGTTTTCACACATGTACACAACACATTCCAATCAATTCTCCCATCATGTTTTCCCCTCCAAAACCCTTCCTGGTACAATTTCTAGAGGATTTATTGTTCTATTTTATACTACTCTTTAGCATGATTTACAGTAACCTTGCTAAGAAACAAAAATATAATCTGTAAAATACCAAAATTTAAAATGTCTAATATGCACATATTTCTATCATACTGCAGGGTCTATACTAAGTATTAATCAATATACCAAAACATGACAACACTAAAAAGAAACAATTTTCGTACTGAAATTCAGAGTTCTACTTCATGGATATCCACATTAATATTTCCATGTGGCAGTACTAGGCTGAGTAAATTTTAAAAAATCATATAAAGATTAAGTATATATAAATAGTTAAATATAAAGAGCAAATCTTGATACTAAATTTGACATTAAATCATATTAAAAGTTTTACAAGCCATGATAAGCACAGGTGTCCTAAGAAATGCTCAAATTTCTCCTCAGTAATAAACAGCTGAGGAGAAATGAGAATATTTAGTCAGTTTCTAACGTTTTATTGCTTGCTATAATGCAATAAAGTACGTATTTACGGACTTACAGAAACAACTAATGAAATAGGGAACAAAGTACCAAAGCTTAGACCAAAGTACTTAATTCGAGTCCAAGCCACCTACCAGCTTACTTAAAAATCATTCCAACAACACACCACTGTATCTGGCAGAAAGTAAAAACTAAAATTAATTAAATAAATAAAAATCTAGTGTAAGTATCCAACACATTAGAATTAGCTAACTGAATCAAGGTGAAACCTCTAAAAGAAGACAGCTGACCGTTTTACGAAGACACTGGGGTGCAGTATTTAAATGGACTTGCCACCTTGCAAGTGGAAGTGATCAACCTGTGTGGTTAACTCGGCGGTTAACTCTTACCCTCCCTTCCCCGAGCCCTACTGGAGGACGTGGGGTGGGGAGGAACGACACTGTGAGGATGACGGTGGTGGGTGAGACACCACGTTGTATTCCACTCAAGACTCATCAACCTTATCCTCCGACAAGTGCTTCCTCCGGGCGTCGTAGATTCGCCGGTTTTAAGTTACTCTTGGAGAGCGCTTGCCGTGGCTGACCGACGAATTCACACCTCCATCTACTACTTCCTTTAGGATTCTGAGTGCGTCGTCCGCCCTTTGGGTCGCGCGCACAAGTTTGCTCCCAACACTCGCTGGGCCTCCGGTGGACTTATCTACTTTTTGCAGGCCTCCGTGCCCTCCCACCAGCGGGAGGGCAGGGCGGCCACTTCGGAGCAGCGGCGCAGCCCGGCTGGCCTCCAGCCTCCCCTTAAACAGCACGAGACCACGTGGTACCTCTCAGCAGCCCAAGATTCTCCACTACTTCTCCCCCTTCCTTCCGACAAGGAACCGGAGAACGTGGTGGGGTTCTCTGCCCTTCCGTGGAGCCCTGACACGGGCCCCCCCGCCCCGTGTTCGAACCGCATCGCCCAAGCCCGCCCCCCCACGGGTCCACACACACACAATAAATCCGACAGCCCAGGAGGGGTGACACCAAAGCGGTAGGAAGCCGGGAACTTGGGAGGTTCGACCATGCCCGAGGGAATCCGGCGATGATGGGGAGGAGGCAAGCGAATGGAGACCCAGGGTGGGAAAAATCAAAATAATGTCCAAACAAAGCGAAGCGGCCGGTGGGGGGGGTGGGGAGGTGGGACGGGCAGGACGCGTCCGCACCAAGTGTCAAGCGCTCCCGGGTGCGGGTAACCCAGATCCTCCGGCGGGGAGAAAAGGCCTCCGAGGTGGGAGCGGCTCTCCCGGAGGGGAGGAGGACCGCGGGAAGCCGGGAAGCCGGCCCGCCGCCGCCCGCGCCCCGCGCCGCGCCGCGCACGCCCCCAGCCCGCCCCGCGGCCCCGGCCCCTCGTCCTCTCCCGGCCCAACCTTGGCCCTCAGAGCCCCGCCGAGCGGCCGCCGCAGCCGGACCTGCCCGCACCTGTCACCAGCCCGAGACACCCACCCCGCAGTTCCCGCCCCGGCCTCCACACCCGTGTCGGGTCACCGCTCTCCCTCCCCCCGCGCACACACACCCCCCTCGCCACGACCCTCATCTCCCTACCAAGTGTCCCCTTTCCGCAGCGAGGTCTTGAGCAGCGTCGCGATGTCAGAACGCTGAGTGTCCAGATCCGCCGCTCCGCCTTCCGCCATCTTCTTCCACTAGCCGTAGCGGAGGCGGCGGCGGCGACGGCGGCGGCACGCCCCAGAGCATTGTGGGAAATGGCGTCCTCCTCTCCACTCCCCACCCTCCCCCCCCCCCCCCGCCCCGCTTCCTCCTCCTCGGCCCCGCCCAATCGGCTGGTCGAAACCAAAAGAGTCATGAGGGCGGGGGGGGGGGGGGGGGGGGGGTTAGAAGGAAATGCTTGGGACCACAACAGGGCCTCCTGGGCGGACCAGGTGCCCGGGCTGCGGACTGCTGCCCCCCCCCCCCCCCGCATCGGCCTGCGCTCGTCCCAGCATCTCAGTTTGACCTCCTCGCCCCCTCCCCCGGCCTCTCCTCGGACCTCCAGGTTTTAACTCTCCTCGCTCTCATGCTTGAGCCAAGCCACAGCTGGTCCATCCTGATTTTGCCCATCCTGACTTGCTACCCCGCCTATTTTTCCTGCAGAGAACCCTTATTTGCGCATTCAGTCCCTCTGGAGGGCTGGGGTGCGGCGGGGAAGTAAGGGGATGGTATCAGATATGGAAGGGTTGGACTCGGTGCGTGACTTTGGGCTTTTCGTTCGCGGGCCGCAGAACCCCAGCTCAAAGAACAATCTGAAACCGAACGTTTGTGTGTAGCGTCGTTCCCAGGCTCCTCCAGGGCCCTCCTACTCTTGCAGTAGGTAGAGACCTTTTAACAGGCTTAATGAGACGCTCCCCTCCAGGCACACCCTGGCCAGTGAGCTGCAAGGAAAAGTATGTCCCAGTTCCTCAGTGAGCCAGGAGTAAAATATGTACCAAATAAGGACAGGTACTGGAGGGGGGAAGAAAAGGTGTGAGAAACCTCCTTCCTCTGTGTTAAAGTAACATTTCCTTGGGCTCATCTGGTAGTAGGTACATTTGAAATAAAACGAGATCATACCAGGCTTATTTGGAACCAACGATTATTTGAGAAGTGGGAAAATTGAGTCCTTCGAAAATCAAACAAGGTCTCAAAGCAAGTGGTTGGAGATGAAAGTGAATAACCCAGGTTCCGGAGCCCAAGTACCATTCTTAAGAAAGCTTGAGCTAAAATGTTAACTCCACAACAACTGGATCTGATTTTTGGGTTTTTTTGTTTGTTTGCTTAATTTTTAATTTCTGTAACTTCTGGTGTCTTACACAGCACAATGAGTGACATGTAAAAAAATCACAAGTAGTTTCAAAAACAATTGTGGCAAAACTTATTTAGCATTTCTAAAACTGAAGATACCCAGAGATTTGACTTTTTAACTTAATATGATGACGAAAGAAGCAAAGAGATGGGTAAGAATCCTTCTCCCTTCTTTCCATGTTAATGCCTATGGAAACTCAGGAGGAATGCGTAAGGGTGGATTTAGTAAATGAAAGTAAAGCGCTTACCCCTTCCAGGTGAAAGTTATATATTTTGGTGTCAATGCTTTTTGTATATCATCATGGCAACTGCTTGTTTCTGCCTGAAGATTAAATGACACAGTATGGTTTTTTTTGCCTAAGACTTACAAGCCAATCAATACACACTTGGACTGATAGTAGGATAAATTGTACGGTATGTGAAATTATATCAGTAATTTTTTTTTCAAGCGTTGGAGACTTGAAATTCAAAATCATGCTTTCTCTCATAAACATAACCAAGAAGAGCCTTATTAATTACTCTCACCCAATATAGTCCTGCAAGAAAATACTCTTTTCTTCATTTGTATTAATGTGGAAGGCAGTGAATTCAATGCCATTTAAGTTACGCATGAGATATAAAAGATCATTTTGTAGACCTAACTAGTTATAGAGTAAGGAAAGAAAGGTTATAATGTAACAAACATTTGTAAAGTGCCTCATTTGATTCTTTGAAGTACTAACCATTCCCATAGCAACATTATTCTTATTTCAATTGATGAGGAGTTGATGTAAAAGGATGACTGAACTCAAATTTAAAATCAAACTGTCTGGCTCCAAAAATCTAGAAGAGTTGGGAAATTTTTTATTTTTCTATCAGCCTTTGTGGACTTTTTTTTTTTAATAGCAACCCACTTCTCAGTAACATTTGCTTCTTTACTGATCCTTTAAATTATAAATAGAAATAAGTTATTTATAAATATTAAAGTGGTGAAGATCCACATCCCTATTATTAGTTAAATAGATTATATGAAAAGCTACATTACCTTGAATCACACAAATAATTGGATATAAAGCTAGGGGTTAAAACTGATTTTAGAAGAAGAGTCTGATGGTTCCATAAGTTAACTTGTTGCAGTTTTACTATCTGAATAGTATTACATTCTCAGCTCCTCTTTTTTTTTTTTTTTTGCTTATCTATGAAAAGAACCTAGGGACTTGAATATGGGACAGGAATATAGAATACTGAGTACTTTAGAAGAAAAGTTTGATATGAGTGAGGTGGACCTCATGCAGAATCAGGTTTGATTATGAAGTTACAGACACTTTAATAGGGATTCTTTGATCTTCTAATAATTGGCCATCCTGCTCACTGATGTTTGAATAATTCTTTATTTAGCCTGGAGAGGTTTCTGTATTCAACAATTAGGAGATATGACTTCATGATGTAATACTGGGAGAGAGAAAGGCTTAAACTAAGGTCAAGCAAGTGCTGGTTTTCAGCATATATGAATTAGAGAAAGAAGAAAAGACATTGTGTTCCATAATAAAATTGAATGGAAGAAAGTATGATTTCACAATTTAAATGGTGCTGACTTCATGAACCCAAGTATTGAGTTAATTTTGCAAATCCCATGCATGTACAGAATGAGTACAGCCCCTAAAAGGTCAGTGTTTGATGTTCTGACTGGCTTTATTTCTCAACTCTATCTTTGATCTTTAGGAAACAGTACTGTCTCACTTTTTTTCCCCTTCTCCCCATCCCTCCATAATTGTTGCCTCTGGTAACCCCACCACCCACTATTTTTATTCACCACTCAAAACCCTTTTTTCCTCTTATGTAATATTAGAATTCCCTTCTCCCTTTACCAGCTCTGAACAGCTCAAAGGCAGTGGAAAGACGGAGGAGTAATGCAAACACCAAAATAGCATGTAGTAAAATGCTTAATCTGTTAATGGTATTTTGAAACTTGGAGTGTGAATAAAAATTGCAAGTGCCTCAATGCAGCGTTTAAAGCTTAAAAAGTACAGAGTCTCCTCAGACAAATATGAGGCTCGGATAAAGGGAATGAAAAAGTAGTGAAACGAATACAGTACCTTTTACAAAGAACCAGTATATTTGGATTTTGACTTTGGCTCAGTGCCACTAACTTCCTGGGTAACCTTGGCCAAGTTGTTTAATCTCTGTGAGCATTCATTTTCTCATTTCAAAAAATAAGGTGATTAAACTTCACGGGCTAAAACTCAAATGCTTGCAAGGCTTAGATATAACTTATGTAAATGGGTGAAGCAAATCTGCTTTCAAATACTAAAGCATTTAGGGAACTGCTTTGAATTGGTGGTACTAAACTGAAGGTATTTAAATGAAAGGAAACAAATATTTTTTTTCTCCTGCCCTATAGGATCTGGCAAGTTTAATTTATATATGGGAATGAAATCTACAAATTGATTCATCTGGGATGCTATTTATATTCTCTTTTTAAAAAAACACATACAAACAGATGAAAATTGACAATACCTTGAAGCATGAGACTCATCATCCCAGGAACAGTCAGTTCTCACTAAGAACTAAAATGATTTAAATCAATAAACAAATTAGACCTAGTCTAATAAGTCTCAACAACAAAAAAATACACCTTCTTAGAAAGTATATTGTATGGATACTACATATATTAAAATCACTATTTGTGTATGGAAGGAAACTGTACCAAGGAGAGTTGACTTATCTTATCCAGCCAAGAGTGATATAGATCAAACCAAGGTAATATTAGGAAAAACCTATTTCATATATTTTTGGTATTTACTTTTATTGACAGACTTCAGGTTGATGAACTACTTCTTGAAAAAATAATAGAAATGTTTAAGCAGGACCCTGTGTCCTTTCCCAAGTTCATAATAATTGCTAGGCTTTGGAAAGAGAAGTCATTTAAAAAATATTGATCTTTTTTATTAAATAGACAAATTAACCAAAATTTTAATCAGCCTTATACGTTTGATTATTTGTATTTCCATATTTTATGCCAATGAGTCTCACACATGTGTACCTGCAATATGAATAAGGGACTTGTATAATAATCCACTGATTCTGTAACTATGTAATTCTAAGAGATTAACATTTATTTCTCCCAAGGAAGGACTGAATTATTTAGATTTTTTATGGGTGGGGAGTTGGACAATGCTCTTCACTTTGCCTAAAAGAGCAAAAAAACTTAAACTGCTTACAAAGATTTTAGAAAAAATATAATATCAGGTCTTACAGAATATCTATGCTCCAGGGCTGATGAAAACATTGGATAGGGCATTCTTCATAATATCATCTTCCAGTATCTATGCAACAGGACACTGCAGATCACCTACTAGGTTTAGGTCAAGTCATGAGACAGTAACAATGAAGAAAAACAAGTTTAGTGATTTAATAAAATATTTACCACTGCTCTTTGATGTTAGCTAGTATGCTCCTATTTTATGACTTCTTGAATTATGTGGATTGCACATTTCTAAAACTGTCAAGAGGCTTACTCTGTAAACATTGAACACCAGTGCTATAACATGAGGGGTTTCTGAGATATGCAGGAAATAATAACACATCTTGACATGCTTAAGATAAATGTCCCTATTATCCTAATTACTAGTTCTGTGATACGAAAGTTTTAGTTTCCTCATCTGTAAAATGGAGAGGATAATAGGCTTATTTCTTAAAATTCACTCAAAAGTGAAACAAACAATGACTATGAAAGTAATAATGGAGCTCAGCATAAAGTACAAATATTGTTAACAAAACATTGTAGCCTGAGACAGCACTAAATTTGAAATTTTAAGTAAATATATTAAGATCACAAGTTGTTGTGCAATAGTCATCAGTTTAGTTAAAAATTAGTAGGTCTCCAGCTCAAAACAACAGCCACCACCACCACAACAAAAACCAACTCAAGTACTACTAGTAAATTAAAAGCCT